CGGTGACATCGGGGGGCCGGGGCGGGCCAGGGCAGGGCCAGCCCGCGGTGGGGACACACCGGGGAGAAGGCACAGGGCCGGTGCCCCGTCCCTGTGTGCGGTGACGAGCCGTGGCGGGAGCGGAGCCTGGCCGGCTGCAGCGTGAGGTGGCTTCTGGCAGGCAGTCACCCGAGAGGTTTTTCTTTCCAGGTGCGGGGAAAGCCGCTCGCAGGAGCACTGCGTATTGCGCCTGGGGCGGTGGAACAGGGAAGGACGTGTCCTGCTCGTGGGCGTCTGGTGAAAAGCACCAGGTCAACGCGTGGACGGCAGCGCGAAGGTGGCTGCGAAACCTTAAAAAAGCCTTTGTATGAGCACACGCTTTTTATACAACGTACAGCGTTGTATAAAAAGACCCAGGTGGTCCCTTGGGTGGGAGTAGCTTGCGCTGGGAAAAGGAAATGTTATAACCTTTCTTTCGGGGTAGGATTTGCCCGGGAAGGGAAATTAATTAGCGATGTAGCCACCATGCGCCAGCTCTCGGGCAGAGCCAGGCTAGCTCAGTCCCACTTCTGTCCTGACTATCTCAGCTCTGAGGCAGGCCAAAGGGTTTCATGGCCCAGAGCTACCCCACACCGTAGCCCTCTTGGCAGCACTTCTCAAAGCCTGCATGGTGGTGGGTAATACCTTTGCCATACCTAATTAGTGGGGATATTTTTTTCCTGGACTGAAGCTGTCTCCCCAGGCTTCTTCCTAGTTTGCCTCCCGATACACACAGAGCGATGCAAATCCTCGCAGAGTCTCCTGCTGGGTCTTCCAGGGGCTTAGGTGGAAGATGGCAATGGTACAAACGGTGCTTCTTCCTGCAAGGAACTTCAACCCCTGTGACTCTGTTGGTGATGGGGAAGATTTGGTTCATGGTTTTTACCTCGGCTGTGCTCCTCTTTGGCTGTGCAGCAAAGGCACGTAAACGTGTCCTGGACAGCTTGCTGGTTTTGCAGGAAAATCTCGGGTCATCTGCTTTTGATCGGGTTTTGACTCTATTTCTTAAGTAATAACAATTTATTTCCAAGCAAATGTGACTGTAGCTACACAGTAGGTGACAGCTGTGCATCTCCAAAACAAGCTCCTAGCAGGATTTCTCCATGCATTTTGTGAGGGACCTCGTGTAAGTAACCACTCAGCCTTCAAACTGCTTTTTGCAGTTGACGTCAGGATCCTGTGTTGTTGCTGAGACGTCAGCTGTAAGGTGCTTCTGGACTTCAGTGACAGAAGGATATACCACCTACAATTCAGAGAAAAATCGGAACCATTTTTAGAATCCAACTGAATATTAAACTTGGTGAACGTGCAACTATAATGCTGACAATGAGAACTTTAATCCTACTAACTTGAAAACCTCTTAGCAAATTAGCTCAGTAGGTTTTAGTAGCTGGTTTGCAATCCCCTTTCTCTGCTCATACTCCTTATATGGGGAAAAGCCCATGTCCTTTAAGGCTGGGAGGCTCAAACACAAACGCTTCTATAGGAGTTTACAACCAAACTGAAAGGAGCTTGAATCTTGCGGGTTGCATATATGTGGTGACACAATTTGGCCCCGTTTTATTGCTCAGACATGCTGTTTCTGGGGAAACCAACCCAAATCTCCTTCTTGTTGCTTCATCTTTATAGTAAAAAGTGAAGGCTTGGCATGCAGAGTACCCAGCACAAACACAAACTGCCAACATTTCATTTCACTGCACGGCAGTTTTCCTGCTGAATTATTCCTCCTTGCAAGACCCTGCAAAGGAAAAGACATGCGGACTATCTAATCATCACGCTCCCGAGAAAGAGTGAGGATGTACGGTCCTTTCCTCCGCTTAGTGCCAGGAGGCCACGAGCTGTGTACGCACCGAGAGCCCCGTCCTGCAACTGTGCTCAGGCGAGACTGTCTTTTGAAATAAATCTTCTCCTTGACTCTTTCCTTATTTCTATGTTAGGCTTTCTACTACCCCAGTAAATGGCTATATATTCCTCAGCTTCTGACCTAATTATTTGTAGGATAGAAGTACAACCTGGACAAGATTAACTTGATTTACTAATAAAAAGCAAACCAGCATATCCAAATGGCCAGATGCATTTCATGGTCATTAATTAAAGCTTTTGAATTTTTTCTGTGAAATAAATATTGTGATACTTAGCACCTGTATTTAGTTTTTTATCTGTTTCAAACAATTTTAAAAGGGGGTGTGTGTGTCTATTTATTTGCACTCTCTGGTAGAAAAATTGAATTAGAAACAGTTCGAATGACTTATGCCAAAGTCATATATGTGTGAGTCATCCATACAGTGTCTGGTCTATCTACTCGTTCTGAATTTTTCCTCATTATTTACTAGAACATTTTAATGAATATTCACCATATTACAGTAGATGCATTTGCTGTGTGCAAGTCTCTAGGCTTTTAAGAACACTCATAGCACAGATTAATCACTTGATGTCTATTTGGTACAACATCATATGAAGTCCAGGTTTCCTTTACCATTGCTCCTCAATCTATAAATAAGTAATAACCTTTCCTACTTTTTGTTTGAAATAGTTGAGCTCGCTTTTCACGTATCATGGACTAACTTGGTAATTAAATCAATGGCTACATTGGGGTAACATTTAAATATTTTTATTGCTTCTGACGCTTAGGTAAATCAAGTAAGGCTGCCTGCCTCTCAGGGTACTGGAACTGCTTACATTTATACAGTGATTTTACATCTTTGTCTAAGAGTCACATCTTCATTGATAGCAAGTCAATAGTCATTTTATATTATTTTTTCTATCTCTTTATTATTCATATCAGGAGTAGACACCCATTGAAGGTAATACCTGGAAGTGTTTGGGACTCAGCCGTTAGAAGTTTACACAGATAACCGATCACTCAAAAATTTCAGAATGTGAGATCAAGGACTCATTTGTTTCACATCCTCCTCACACGGAATAGGAAGCCTAAACTGTGGAGGTGGGACACGGCATTTCTGTGCATGTCACAGGCGGTCTCTGGCGTGCAGCGCTGGCTGTTGGGGTGCCTGCTCGGAGAAGCAGATCTGACTCAGGAGCTCCGGGACTGGACTGAGGTGCCTCAAACATGGTGTGTTGCAGAGATGAGAATCGCAGTACGTCCGTCCTGGTTTGGATCCAGGCCCATGTCATTGACTTCGTATGTCTGAAGAGAAACCAGAGGTGTGAGTTCACCAGGTAATTGCGCAGGGTGGGTGGGCTGGTCCCTCCGTTGAGCAGAGAGCGAAGACAGGCAGGTTAGACTGAGCACCTCGCTGCATGGTAGCTCTGTTCTCTGAAGGGACCCCAGCCTCTCTGAGAGCTTTTTGACACCTCTGGTGGCAAACAAGGCCCCCAGCTCTGCATGCCCTGTGACAGGGGAGTCCACA